GGCTGCCATGGGATGCCGACACAGCCTCTTGCTGTGGGGAGCTCAGTCCCCTGCAGACAGAGGCTGCTGCCCCATGCTGCTGCCTCCGATACAGAGATATCAGCACGGGGTGGCATGAAGCTCCCTGGGAGATGAGCCAGGAGCTCGCTTGCTGCCGGCCCCGTCCCTGGGAACCATCGAATAATCATGTAACTACTAAGATTCGGTGCAGTTAAACCAGAGCAATAATTTTAATGGGGGGGCCACTTTGTGAATTTTGGTACGTGATGACAGGCCACACCCCCTGGAAGGGGTGTGGCCTCAGGTGGAAGGGATAGGGGGCTAAGAGAGTGTGTGTGAGTGTGAAAGACACACTGCATGTGCGAGAGACTGACACAGATTGTGTGCGTGTGGCACAGAGTATGTGAGGCAGTGTGTAGCACACAGACAGTGTGGTAGTGTGTGACTGACAGAGCATGTATGCTGGCTGCTGCTAGGTAAGTTTCTGAAAGAAATCATGTACTGTCTCTTTAAGAAAGGGAAAACTGTTCTGCTCTGTGGTCTCTTCCCTCCCCCACTCTGCAGAGATAGGGCTCTTGTACATTCAAAAGCAGAAGTGCCTGCAGTGGGAACCCCGCTCACACTGTTTCCCTGCTGTGCCTCTGCCTCCCCTAGCCCCTGCAGAGACGGTGCTGGGGGGAACCAGCTTAAAGCCAGTTCCCCCCAGCACTGGCTCCTGCACCCTACATTTGCTGCCTCTCTGATAGACTAGTTGAGTCGCTACTCAACTATATGATAAGCTTTTGCTTATCAGGTAGTCGACTAGTTACTTACATCCCTAGTATAATCTTGCCCCAAAGACTTTGGTACAAGGAATACATTCTTTTACTTAAAGCCTTTAAAAAAAAGTAAGATCTGTTTCACTCATGTGTGACATGCATTTAACATCTCAGCTATCATTTGCACCAGTAAATAATAGCCTTAACTCTGATATGAAATGGCCACTCAAGCGATAGCTACCCAAAACAAATGCAAGAAAGTCTGCACGGGGAAAAAAATATCCAACTTATCAGAGCAACAGTTATATACTTGCACACAAGTTTAATTTTATATTCTCTTGTATGTAAACCGAGACAAAACAGCAAACACATTACTGAATGCAAGATACCTTCTTTGAAGGTGCTCCGGTAGATGGCACATCAATTACAGAAGATGAATTAGTGTAGTTTTGTAAATATGATCCATCTCCAGGGCTAGGGGTTTCTAGTGGCAAAATTCCAAAACTGAGAAAATAATGAAATGGAGATGTCAGAACCAGGGTAGCCTCGAAAAGCAATATCATAATAAAAACATTTCAGGAAAGGCTTGATCTTGTTGTGGCACAGGGAGTCAGGCCATCTGTGTTCCATTTCCAGCAACGCCACTGACTTCCTATGTGAGCCTTTCTGCAAGTCTCTGTTCCTCCATTACTATCTATAAATTAGAGATAAGAATATTTCCTTTTTCCTACCCTTCCTCTGTCTATTTAATTGCAAGCTTTGGGGATAAGGAAGTTATCTTCTATACAGTAGCTAGCACAAGAGGGTTCTGATCTCATCTGGGGCCAATATTCACTGATGCAATACTAAATAATAAATATTTTTTTAAAGGAAAGCCAAGGCAAGGTCATTCATGAGACAGGACATGTGAAGTATAACCGTTGGTATCAAAACAACAACAAAATATAACAATCCTTTTATTATTGACTTTTTTATTACAGAAATTGTACTAAGTAAAAAACAGACTCAAAATGCCTTTCCTCTAAAGCCATAAAATACTGGTGGCTCATTTAATTTTAGTTACTGAAGTTTGGACAAAAAACTACCGCTACTAAAATGAGACTGGCTACTTTTTATAAATGGTTTGGCTTTGGCCCCAGCAGCATTATCTACTGAGTACTGTAAATATACGTGGTGCTTTACAATATACAGAGAAAGAAATGGTTCCTGCCCAAAGACACAAGGAACAGTGGCAATGAAAATAGTTACAAAGTAGGGTTTTAAATTCCTAATCTTACCTTGGTGTCAATGGGCTTAGAGCAGCTGGGCCTCCCAGTAAACTCCGACCTGTTTTTGGTTTATTTTGAGCCTGTTTAGATAATATGGCAGGTCCTGATCCAAGAGGGACAGCATCTGGTGAAATTACAGCTGAATCAATGTAAGACATAGAGGAATCTGTGTTCAAGGAGGAGTATTTTGAATTGGATGATTCCAGGTTGAGTCTGTTCAATTCCTGAAATGGAAGACATCTTTTATAACATCTACTTGCAAGTAATTCTTCAGTCATTCATTCAAATCCGAGAGACAGCTTCCAAGGTCAGAGGGCTGGGTGAAACTTACAATTGTATCTTGAGGAGTTTCCATAAGGACAGTCTCAGGCTGTCTGTGGGATACATTGTGATTAGACACTAATGTTGTGCAAGTGTTGGGCAGACAGCTGCTGAAGTTCTGCAAAGATGTTAATTTAAATGTTTGGTCAGGGTCTGGCTTCTCACCTGTAAGAGTGAAGAAAGATTTAACCAGGGTTATTAATGGTCAAATATATTGGGGGCTTGGGTAAAAGCAAAATGTAAGGGACACTTGATATTTTAAGAATAAGGAGTATGTTTTTGTGCATTTGTTTTTAGAAGGCACTAAACTATAGATCCTAAATTATTTTGGATTTCAGACTTAACTCTACCATGTCTATCCATTTCATTTAATCCCCTGGAGAATTAAAGAAATTCATAGAGGATAGGACCATCAATGGCTGCTAGTCAAGGTGGGCAGAGATGCAACCACATGACCTGAGCGTCCAAGCCTTTGACTGCGAGAAGCCAAACTGAATGACAGGGCAATCATCCAACTGATCTATCCCGTGTTCTAGTCAATCCGTCTAACTCATATAGCAATAGCTACTGCTGGAAAACTGGATACTGGGCTAGACTGAAAATTGGTCTGACCCAGCATAGCCATTCTTATATTACTATCATTTGTCTAGAAATCAAGACAAGACTGTAGGCAGGCATACTGATACATCAGCGTTCACTTGTTTCTATCCAGTTCTTCTTGAGACATCTACCAGCTGGCCCCTTCAAAACTGTCTTAAAAGACAAAGTCTGCCTAAGTTGATCAGAGCAGCAAAATGTGGCGATCATCCAAAAATGCATCTCGGAGTAATGAGAGTTAGAGTGCTCAAAAAAAGCATATGCTTGGAGAGGTGGTCAAGTTTCTTTTGTAAGTTCTGGGGAGCTTTGGGAACTGTAACAATTTTTTCTATTCAAGGGAAGATTTATTTGGTGCTTGCTCTCCTCTCTTCCCCCCAGCTCTCCACAAAAGCTCATTTTCAGGAGTCATAAAAGCCAGGCAATCAGGAAGTAAGGAGCAACTCATAAATTAAACAGATCTACAAAATATTTAAGATGTGTATTGCTACTGTAGCTTTATCAAATACCTTTTAAGAAGTTTTTCAGTTAATTATTTACATGGAGAAAATACCAACTCCAGAGGGCAATTAAAAAAAAAAAATCACATCTCATCACACAAAGTTATACAGACCTACCTATTTCACATAGTGATTCAAAAGGGGACCAGAGGAAAGGATTTAAACTAAGGCTCTTTTGGTAACATTCGGATCCTTTGGCAAGCCGATCTGTCTTGCTGTAAGAGAATTAAAACAAACAGTTGAAGGAAAGTTAAAAACAGCATTTACATTAAATAAAATGTTCAAAAGAAAGGGGAGGGGGAAAAACAAGAACATCTTTAGAGCTACAGCAATAGTCTCATTTTGCAGACATCAGCAAGTTAATTTAAAAGCAATTCAAGATTTTGGCATATTTAATATTTGGAGACATTTTAAACTCTCAAAACTCATCAAAGGCTTTAAGAGTTGATGAAAATATAACTTGATCTCTTGTAGAAGACAGGCATCTTCCTGTAATCTTTATTAGCTTTTGCGGTTCTGCAATGATGTTTTGTATTCAATATACAGGTGCCCAGTTCAATGTAACTTTGCTCTGGATAACACCTTTTAATTGGGGGGGGGGGGGGGG